TTCTAGTACTAGTTTTTGCTGTGTTTTGGTATCAGGGGAATAAGTTGAGAATTATTCTATTCGTTCCTAATTTCTGGAAGAGATTGTATAGAATTGCTATTATTTAACAATGAAAACATTTGCACCTAAGATGTTTTCTTTATCAGGCAGTTTTAAACAACAAAGTCAACTACTCTGCTAGAAATACTACTCAAGCTATATATTTCTTCTTGGGTAAGTTTTGATTGTGTTCTTAAGGATTACACCATTTCATCTGTCAAATCCGTGCACATTAAGTTGTTCTAGTATTCTTATCAATTATAGAATCTATACACACTCGACCTCTTATTGATTTTTTAAAATGACCAGTTTGGGGTTCAGCCATTTTTCTCTGATGCTTTCCAATGAATTCTGTCTGTCCCGTTTTCCTCTAGCTGTTTGTAGGAGGCCTTGTGGTGTACTGCTTACACATTGTGCTGTTAACTGTAAAGTCAGCACTTCAAAACCACCAGTTGCTCTGTGGGAGAAAGGTGAGGGTGTCTACTCACATATAGCCTTAGTCTCAGAGACTCTCAGAGGCAGTTCTACTCAGCCTGGACAAGGTTGCTAGGAGTTGGAATTGAATCAATGGCAGTGAGTTTTGGTTTGCTTTAGGTTTAATTTTCAATTTCTTATTTAATGCCATGACTCTTATTTTGTTGCATACATTGATATTTGTTTTGTTTGGGCCCTATGATTATGCAGAAAAATTTAAATTTCTGAACATCAGGGAGATTTTTTAGATCTCTTTCTATTAAGGATTTCTATTTGGATTCCATTTATGGTCGAAGAATAAGGTTTGTATGATTTCAAAATTTTTTATTGCATAGTTTATTCTATAACAAGGTCAAGTTGGTTTATAGTGCAGTTATATGTCTTAAGTCGTCTTAGTAAAATTTTCTATTTCTCTTCATTCCTCTCTTTATTCTTCATTTGTTTTAAATAAACCCTTTCTTATTAGGAAATGTTCCTTTTTACCCCCTGATCATTTAAGTGTATAACCCCTTTTTGGATAGCCAAATTAAACAGATCTATGTATGTATGATCTCTGTTTAGTTCATCTATAAGCCCTGGTGGTATAGTAGTTATGCGTTGGGATGCAATCTGCAATTCAAACCCACCAGCCACTCGGAGGGAGAAAGACAGGGCTTTGTCCATCTCAAACTCCCAGGGACAATGCTACCCTTCCAATAGGATTACTAGGAGTCAGCATTGACTCGACAGAGTTTGAGTTAATGGCAATGGAAACGAGTTTGGTTTGGGGCTTATTTAGTTGATCTATATAGTTAGATCACTTACAATGCTATTGAAGTAGGCATTTTGCATTTTTACTGCCAAAATTTACACTTAAAGGTAAAACGAAAAGAGCTATGAAATATTGGCCCTGTTCTCCTTCATAGAAAGACATTTAAGGTACAAGTTTGAAAGGTTAATGTAGTACTAAGTTGAAAGTGTT